TTAGGGGTGAAATAGTCCCTGTAACCGGTTGAGATAAACCAGAAGGTAGGTCGGGCACCCAGATATGCCTGACAGGGGTAGGTCGGACACCCCGGTATGTCTGACAGGGGTAGGTTGGGCACCCCGGTATGCCTAACAGGGGTAGGTTGAGCACCCCAGTATGCTCAACAGGGTAGGTCGGGCACCCAGATATGCCTGACAGTATGTTTATTGTATGGTATTGTGGTATGATGGGGGAACGCACTAAGTTTCGTGCTTACGATTTTCAGTTTTGGTTTCAGGTACTTCTGCTTCGAAGGGAAAGGAGTCGGCATGACTGCAGCGCATCATACCACGATTTTCCACACTATGATGTTCTTGGGATTTGTACTCTAACATTATTATTATCTTATGATATGCTTTTGAGACATATGAATTATAGGTTTTATGAAATGAGATATCTCGATGATGTTTTCAATAATCTATTTTATGAACTGTTAAATCAAAAATGAAATTTTTGGTCTCGGATTTTGGTATGTTACACTAAAAGTAACAGCTCATAAATATTTTAAAAACAACATAAGGATAAAAAATTTCATCATTCGATAATCAACGCGATCCACCACACCACACATTTATATCCATCCTAATGTTAAAAGATAGAATTTGTAAGTACCATGTTTTAATAGGAAAACTTTGTGAAGTACAATGTTGTAATATGGGGAAATGAAAAGAATAAGCTATAAATTGGTAAGAATTCTCAAAGTATAATGTTAAAATAGGAAAATCTTGAAAGTAGGATACTATAATGACCAACAAACCATCAAGACTTGATTTGTTTTACAACTTCCTGCCGTTTACATGCAACAAACAACATGTTTTCACCAATTGGTAAAATTTCTCAAAGTACAATGTTAAAATAGAAAAATCTTGAGAGTATGATACTATTATGACAAAAAAAACATCAAAACTTGATTTGATTTACAAGTTCTTACCATTTACCCGCAACAAGCAACATATCTTCAAGATAAAAAGCCATCAAAACTAGTATAACCATATTCAACAGTAGACTTGGAAAACCTAAAATCAAGATATTAAAAAGATAACCTTTTGTGTATGAGAAAAAGAAAAAATGGACCTATTGTGAAAGCTTTTGGAATTTGTCCACTAAACCTTGTAGCCTATGGGTTCATGGTAACCCATTTACTTCTTTTAAAGAACATAAACCCAAAACCAAAAGAAATAGTCATCGTTACCACACATGGAGGACCAACACCTGTACAAGAAAGTAAACAAGTCTTGACCATAATGGCTTGAAAGCGGTTATTAGTAACATACTAACATACAAAGAACTTTATACATATATTATTATCTTGACCATAATCATACAAAGAACTTTCACCCTAGTCCATGATAGTAGGGTCTTATTTTAGCTAAATGTTATGTATCTTCAAATCAAAAGATGCTAAATTATTAATAGAAAACAAGCTAAGGGGATATGTATATGTGATTCTTATTTTAGCTTCATGTACCGTATTGATATGTGATAAAAAGAACTTAAAGATAACAATAAAGAAAGCTACAAAATAGGATGTTATGATAAGGAAAACTGGCTAGAATTTATAATAAAACAAAGTGAAAAGTTAATTACCTTGAATCTTTAATTGATGTCTTGCTCATTGTTGACTAGGGGAGGATCGACGAAATAGCCGTGACAGGAAAAAAAAAACCTCCAAGCAAGACCAAGCCAAAGATCAATTGCCATTTAGGCAAAATCAGAAATTAGGTTGAGCATCAAGTGGTGAAGAACATCAAAATTAAAAATCAACTCCCAATCCAAACTTGTAAAGTCACAAGAACAAACTGAAAGCTGTATTTTTTGAGTTTAGAGAGGAAAGGAGATGAAACATTTGACTAAAACTGAAATTGAAAGCAAAACGCAGGCACAATTATATTTTACCATTACTTGGGACCAAATCTCATATCGATTGCGACTCAGGGTGATTTAATGTTAAGGATTGAACTTCGGTCCCCTGCCTAAGTTCTCGAACATCTACACCTCAGTCCTCAGTCCTCGTCCCTACCAACTTGGTATGAAAGATCAAAGAGAGAAACAGAATTCTATAAAACATCGAGTCAGAAAAAGCTAAAAGGACTCCTCATAGTTTTCAGTCTCCTCTTCTTCTTCATTGAGAGGTGCGATTTTTTAGCTAATCGAGAATAACATTCACTTATTTTCACGTTTCTGCCTTCAATCGTGCCCTTGTGGCCAAATTATTGCCTTCGATCGTTTCTACCTTCAATCGTGATTGTGTGTATCTGTGTGAGGTATCCAAACAGGTATCTGGAAGTTGAGAGAAGAAGGGCAGTAGGTTGCCTTAGGGTTAGAGAGGAAGAGAAATAAGAAGGAGAAATATGAAGAGCAGGTGCGTATGGTGAGTGGTTTTCGATCCAAATGTGGGATTGGGAGATGGCGGCTACAAACATGGAACATGACTATTTTGGTCTAACACAATCCTTTCTTACTTGGATGAAAATGTTGAAACTTTAGGGTAGAGGGGGAAAATTTTTGATAAGGAAGGAAACAAAATTGTCGAAATTTTAGGATTAGAGAGAGAAAAAATTGATAAGTAGGGAACCAAAATGTTGAAATTTTAATAAGGGAAATCTCCAAAAAAGTCCTAAAATTTTACCCTAATTTACGAAAAAAGTCCCAAATTAAATTTTGTTTACGAAAAAGCATGAATTACCGGTAAAAATGGCGATTTGACCCCTTTTTCCCGGTTTACCGATTTCATTACTTACCTGTTTCATTAAAGTCCCATTATTTTATCCTAATTTACGAATAAGTCCTAAACTAAAATTTAGTGATGATTTGACCATTTTCTCTATGTAACATACATTTTACTGGTTTCATTGCTGACCCAGACGCCTAGTCATTAAATGAGATGATGAGATAGATATGTTGAGTTATATAATGCTATGTTTAGCATAAAACTTGATATCCTGATGTATTGTATATTCTATGTAACACACATTTTATTGGTTTCATTGCTGACCTAGATACATAGTCATAAATGAGCCGATGAGATGAATATCAAATTTTACAGTAAATGTAGCATTATATAACCCATCGTATCTATCTTATCAGCTAATTTAATTACTAGATGTCTAAGTCAGCAATGAAACCGATAAAATGTATGTTACATGAAGAAAATGGTCAAATCATCACAAAATTTTAGTTTGGGACTTATTCGCAAATTAGGGTAAAATAATGGGACTTTAATGAATCTGGTAAGTAATAAAACCGATAAACCGGAAAAAATGGGTCAAATCGTCATTTTTACCGGTAATTCATGTTTTTTTGTAAATAAATTTTAGTTTGGGACTTTTTCGTAAATTAGGGTAAAATTTTAGGATTTTTCTGGAGATTCCCCTTTTAATAAAGATGAAAAAATGTGATTATAAAATAATTTTACTACATGTTTTGTTTTTTTTAATAGTCACTAAAAAATATTTAGTCACATGTTTTATGAATAAATTAAACCGTTATTATGATTTAGTCACATAAAATTTAAATTCATGTCACCTTATATGTTTTTACGTCTCGGTTAATAACAATCACAACATAAAACCAGATATCAAACAAAAAACCGTCACAATTGATGACATTTTGTGACGACTTTAAGTTAGCATGTGACTAAAACATTATTGTGATTTGATTAATGACTTTTAATGACACAAATAACCAAATCCAAGACAACCTTTTTTTTTAAAAAACCGATGTCATAAATACTTTTTGTATTAGTGGAAGATGACAAAGACATAATGTAATGGTAAAATGTGTGCACAAAAGTTTTGTGTACAAAAAACACATTAACCTGCAAAACCCGGTCAAAATTGTAGGTTTTGAACGGTTCGAATTAGTTTAGTGATAGATCGTGTAAAAAAGAACGATTGATATTGGAAAATGACAAAGACATAATGTAATGGTAAAATGTTTGCAGAATTGATATTGCAAATAACCAAATCCAAGACAACTTTTTTTTTAAAAACCGATGTCATAGATACTTTTTGTATTAGTGGAAGATGACAAAGACATAATGTAATGGTAAAATGTTTGCAAAATTGATATTTCATTACCTTATAAAATCATTTTCCCTCCAATTGATATTGGAAAATTCAACTCTAAATACTTATTCAATCATTCTTCAAGTCGGCCAAAAATGTGATTTATTTCTTGGGAACCAAAAATATCCTAAATACCTTACTTTTTGGCAAAAAAAAAAAAAAAAAAAAAAAAAAAATCGGCTAACTTGTCTTCTCAGGTTCTCTCTTGCTTCTTTGATGTGTAATCGGACACAACTGAGCCTCATCTTCACAACAACAATCACTTCTTCCTCTTCTACGCACATTGCAAATAGTTACATATGATGAAGATGCGGATGTTACACTACACATGACTTCAAATTAACATAAATGTAAACACACTATAATCAGACTTGATATATATTATCACGCTTCACAGAAATGTAATAGCACACAATATATATCAAACTACTCTTTGATTAATTTGGAAATATAACTCAAAAACCAAATTAGTTTTTGTTTCTCTGTGTTGGTGTGTATTACCCTCTTGATAATGCACTGTATTTATAAGATGGACTAAATCATTTCCAATCCTATAATAATAAACATGAGACCCAACCAACTTGTTGGTGTCCCCTACTTTATTTGTGGGTGGAAGACATGAGTGGAGTGAAATGAGGAATTAGGATTCCAACATATTACACTATTATTGTTCTTGATGATATTACAGGATTTAAACTCATGGCAATGAAGATGATATCATACAAGGGATAAACGAATTTAACCACAATACTTCATCACACAACAATATTTAAGCTTATATTAACTTGATCACCAAGTACATACACATTCTCAAACCAGAATGAAAATGGATCATGTTTTTGGGTCAAGATTCGGTTACATTTGAACTTGATATATCATCATCAACCAACCTAATACATATTAGAGGATAACCGCGGGGCCAAAAGGACATCTAGTGGAGTTGATTTGCAGATAGTCATTCCGGAGCTTTCAGTCATATCAATAGGTTCATCTGATGGATTTTTTATCTCAAACTGTTGAATCAAAGTAGCTAGTGTTAAACCCACAGCCTGGAGGGAAAAATTAATACCAGGGCACATTCTTCTACCACTACCAAAAGGAAGTAAATCATAATGTTTCCCTTTGAAATCAATATCCTTCTGAGTTGTCAAGAATCTCTCCGGCCTAAATTCGAGGGGATCTTTCCAGATGTTTGGGTCGCGATGCATCTTATAAAGATTGACCAACAGGCGAGTGCCTTTTGGAATGTTGTAGCCACTCACAATGCAGTCCTCCGTTGACTCATGAGGAGCTGAGAGAGGTGCAGCTGGGTATAAACGTAATGTTTCTTTGATGATGGCATCAAGGTAGATTAAGTTCTTCATGTCTGACTCCTCGACCAATCTGTCTCTTCCAACATGTTCATCAATTTCGTCTTGTGCAGTTTTTAGTGTTTTTGGGTTATTGATCAGTAATGCTAAAGCCCATGTTAATGTCCCAGATGTCGTGTCCAAGCCTGCTACTAGGAGTTGCTGCCAAATGGATCTTGGATTAGGGTTTCGGAAAATTACAAAACATTAATTGGAAATGAATCACGAAACAATGAGATGAAAAAAGTATGAGTTTACTTGACATGTGGCTTTGATAATTGTATCATGGTCAAAACCGGGGAATTCCTCTTGAGAAGCATCTTGAAGAATGGAATTCAACACATTTATGAAGACTCGGTTGCCTTCATGGTGTTGTTGGGGAGACTTGCTTTCTTTTTTGTGTTCTTTTAACCATCCCTCAAAGATGTTGTCCAAATCACTGGCTGTCTTCTTCATTACTTTTATGTATCCACCCACATCGAAACACTTGAGGTAAGGAATAAAATCAGAAACCACAAATGCCCCAAGTAACTCAAAGAATTTTCTTACTATGGTCTGAAATCGAACCCCTTCCTCCTCATGTGGCAAAAACCTCTTCCCTGTAATAATCCTAACCATAATATTTGCAACCAACTTCCCAAACCATTGATTCATCTCCACCTTCATCACCATCTCTGAATTTTCACTCGTTTTGTCCCTTATACAACCAACATATAAATCTTTGATGGATGCTCTAAGCTCCGAAGCTCGAATATGTCCAAACATATCAACTCGCCTTTGAGATAGAGCTTCAAGCATGACCATCTTGCGCATTTGTCTCCAATATTCCCCATATGGACCGAGACCGAACATGGCATTATCATAAGCCATGAGTTTTGTTGCCTCTAATTTTGGTCGATTTGCAAAGGCCTTGTCATTTGTAGTAAAACAAGCCTTAGCTATCGTCCCACTAGTCACCACCAGAGCTTGGTGAACACCAAGCTTAATGCTAAATATAGGGCCAGATTTTTCTGCCATGTCACCTAAAACATGGTGAGGTAGCTGAGGTCCACCCAAAAGGTGTAGGTGTCCGATTATAGGCCATGCTCCTTTTGCTTGTGGTGGTTTTCGGTTCTTTCCTCTCGTTGCCCTTTTTCTCTTTCTATTGAGGATGTAGAGTAGGAAAGGTAGTATGATAAGAGAAAAGCTTGTGACTACAATGGATGAATATGAGAGATGGAACTCCATGGCTTCTTTATGAATAAAGAGTGGAGTAATTAAGCTCATATATTGTTGTATGGGTACATATAAGTGTATATGTAGGCGTGTGTAGCTTCTTGGAATCCAAGTATAAATATAAAAATGATAAACAAGTCCAAGTATAAATATAAAAATGATAAACAAGTTTTTGGGAACCATGCCAAATATATACATATTTGACCAATGATCTTTAACCATGTGTTCCTAAAATATCTTGAATAAAATATATAGGTCATTTTGCTAGCTTCAGTAATAAAAGAACCGTGTATAATATTTGACAAATGAAATGTATAATATTTGAGAAATGATTTTTAACCATGTGTTCCTGAAATATCTTAATAAAATGTGGAAAAGTTGCCTCCAAAATTAGCAAGTGTCAAATAGTTCAAGGGTTATTTCAGTAACTTATCATTTACTATTCATAGTATGACTATGAATAGTAATATATATGTGAATTGAATGAAGAATTGGACGGTGTATATATGTGGTCAAAATAAGGCGCCTAAAACAATTGTCCGCCTACAATTTGGACGGCTTTTCTTCTTTCCTTTCATATGATATTGCTTTTGGCTATAAATAGCCTGAGCCATGAGCCAGAAAGATAAGAAAATAATTATCCAAGTATATATAGAAAAGTATTACATATATATACTGATACACCACAGTGTATTTTAGCTCTCCCACTCTATTTGTAATCTCTTTCATAATCCTTGTAAACACTTCAAATTATAGTGAATTGTTTCTCGGCTTCCTCCGCCCGTGGTTTTTTCCCGATTTAGATTTCCACGTAAATTCCTGTGTCTCTATTCTATTTATTTTATTCGTATTACGTTGTGATTATTACGCTTTGATAATTTTTGATCCCATTCCGCATTGAGCTAATATTATTTAAGTCAATTTGGATCCGTCGTATTTTACAACAATTGGTATCAGAGCATCCGGGTTGTGATATTAGCTCGTTAGGATCATTTTATCAAGTAATTAATCATGTCTTCGGTAAAATACGATATTCCACTACTGGATCGTAACACCCGATTTCCGTTGTGGCAAGTAAAGATGAGAGACATTCTCATTCAGATGGATTTACACAAGGCGCTATTGGGCTTCAATAAGATGCCCGATACATGGACCGAAGAAGAAAAGGAGATGAAAGATCTGAAGGCTTTATCCCAGATTCGTTTGCACTTGTCAAATGATGTTTTGCAAGATGTTCTAAAAGAAACGTCAGCGGCTTCTTTATGGCTAAAGTTGGAACAACTGTTGATGACCAAAAGCTTACCAAACAAGTTGCATTTGAAGCAACGGTTGTTCAATCTCAAGATGATTGAAGGAGGCTCTTTAACTGAACATATATCCACATTTAAAGAGTTAGTAAATAACTTAGAGAATATGGATGTTCAGTATGAAGATGAAGACTTGGCTCTATTCTTACTATCGTCGTTGCCAGAATCCTATAGCCATTTTCGTGATACTATTATCTATAGCCGTGACACTCTAGTTTTAGATGAAGTCTATACAGCTTTGGATTCAAAAGAGAAGATGAAGCATATTACTGGTGGTGGTTCAAGTGATGCTAAAGCCGAAGGTTTGAATGCCAGAGGAAGAACAACAGAGAGAAGTAGAACTTCTCAATCTTCCAACAGAACCAGATCCAAGTCAAAAGGCAAACGAAAGTTTTGCAACTATTGTCACAAGAAGGGACATGTGCTTGAAGAATGCTTCAAGTTGAAGAACAAAGAAAAAGAGAAGACGGCAGCAAATGGTAAACAAGCTAGCACTTCGGGTGAAGCCGATCTAGCTGAGGTCGAAGGTATTGGAGAACTTTTGACAGTTTATTCAGATAAACTGGATTCCACTGGTGATTGGATACTCGACTCTGGTTGTACTTTTCATATGTGTCACAACAAAAGTTGGTTTTACACATTTGAAAAGGTTAACCAGGGCTATGTGTTGATGGGTAACAATACTACATGTCCAGTTCTTGGACATGGTTCAGTCAGGATCCGTATGTTTGACGGAGTTATTCGAACCATGGGGGATGTTAGATATGTTCCTGACCTCAGAAGAAACTTGTTATCTCTCAGTTCCTTTGACAAAAAGGGATACGAGTTTGCTGGTAAAGGTGGAGTTCTCAGGGTATTCAAAGACGGTTCCGACAAACTGAGAGCCGAACGAAAAACCTCAGATCTTTACTTTCTTGACGGGCAAACAATTTCGAGTGATGCTGCTGTTGTGTCAAAGTCTTTTTCTGATCCAGATCAGTCCCGTCTTTGGCACCTTCGACTCGGCCATATGAGTTTTCAAGGCATGTCAGAATTGAGTCGAAGAGGTTTACTTGGTCAACAAAAGATTGTTGATTTGGATTTCTGTGAAGACTGTGTATATGGCAAGGCAAAACGAGTGAGGTTTGCAAGTGGTATCCATACAACGAAAGGACCACTTGATTATGTTCACTCGGATTTGTGGGGACCGGCTCGAGTTGCTTCAAAAGGTGGAGCTATTTATATGCTCACTATTATTGATGATTTCTCCAGGAAGGTGTGGTCTTTCTTCTTAAAAATAAAGGAGACGTTTTCTCTACCTTCAGAAATTGGAAAGTTCAGGTTGAAAAGCAATCAGGTCTGGTGGTAAAGTATCTTCGTACGGATAATGGACTTGAGTTTTGCTCAGAAGAGTTTAATGTCTATTGTCAAAAGGAAGGCATTACTCGACATCGCACAGTAGTCCATTCACCTCAACAAAATGGTGTAGCTGAAAGGATGAATCGCACCATTATGGAGAAGGTCCGGTGTATGCTTTCTAATTCCAAATTGCCAAAGTCTTTTTGGGCGGAGGCTGCTTCGACTGCTTGCTATGTTATCAACCGATCACCGTCACGAGCAATCGAGAAGAAAACTCCGTTTGAGTTATGGTCCGGTAAACCTGCCAATTATTCAGATTTAAAACCATTCGGATGTCCAGCGTATGCACGAGTTGACAATGGGAAGCTAGAACCAAGAGCAATCAAATGCGTTTTTCTTGGGTACAATCAAGGTGTAAAGGGTTACAAGTTATGGAGCTTTGATTTGAAGAAAATTATCATCTCAAGAGATGTTACTTTTGATGAGTCTGCTATGATTCAACCAGTTGCTGACTCTTCTAAAAGAACAGATGCATCAGATGTATCATCCGAAGCAAATAAAGAGAATGCTCAAATGGAGGTGGAGCTTCCTACTTCACCTACCACTAATCAGAGTACAAATCAGCATCAAGATTCTTCTTCGTCGGATGAGCATGTTGTTGGTGAAGATTCAACACCTTCACAACCACAAGCTACTACTCCAAGCATTGCAAGAGATAGACCGAGAAGACAGATTATTCCTCCGAAGAGGTATGCTGAATCTGATTTGGTTGCCTATGCTTTTATTGTTGCTGATAATATTGAGTCTGCAACGGAGCCTGCAAATTATGACGAGGCTATCAAATCTGAAGACTCAAATGATTGGATGCTCGCTATGCAAAATGAGATGGAATCCTTGCAGCGAAACAGTACTTGGAATTTAGTTCCTATTCCGAAAGGGAAGAGACCAGTTAAATGCAAGTGGGTCTACAAGCTCAAGGAACCTGTCACCCCAAATGATAAACCAAGATACAAAGCTCGGTTAGTAGCTAAAGGCTACAGTCAGATTCCTGGTATTGATTACACTGACATTTATCCCCCAGTTGTCAAACATACTTCCATTCGTGTGTTGTTGGGGTTGGTTGCTTCTAACGATTTTGAGTTAGAACAACTTGATGTCACTACAGCTTTCCTAAATGGTGAGCTTGAGGAAGAGATTTTTATGCAACAACCTGAAGGTTTTGTAGTTCCTGGAAAGGAGAACTACGTATGCAAGTTGAACAAATCTCTTTATGGCCTCAAGCAGTCTCCTAGACAATGGTACAAGAGGTTCGATTCTTTCATGACCAGTCACAAATTCAGCAGGTGCACCTATGATAGCTGCGTTTATTTTAAGAAAGGTGACAATGGTTCAAAGATCTACTTACTCTTGTACGTGGATGACATGTTGATTGCAGCGAAAGGTATGAAGGAGATTCAGAAGTTAAAAGACCAGTTAAAAGCTGAATTTGAAATGAAGGACTTAGGAGCTGCCAAAAAGATTTTAGGTATGGAAATTATTCGTGACAGGAAGTCTAGGATCTTGCATCTTTCTCAGAAAAGTTATATTGAGAAAGTCCTAAGACGCTTCAGTATGCACGAAGCAAAGTCTGTCAACACACCTTTTGCAGCTCATTTCAAGCTATCATCCGCTTTGAGTCCTACTAATGAGACTGATATGGCTTACATGGCACGTGTTCCATACTCTAGTGTTGTTGGATCTTTGATGTATGCTATGATCTGCACGCGCCCTGATTTGGCTTATGCTGTTAGCATGGTTAGTAGATACATGGCGAACCCGGGGAAAGAACACTGGAAAGCAGTACAGTGGATTTTTCGTTATTTACGCGGTACGTCTTCTATGTGTTTACGTTTTGGTAAATCTAACACTGGGGTGTTCGGATATGTTGATTCAGATTATGGCAAAGATTTGGATAAACGAAGATCAATTACAGGGTATGTGTTTACTCTAAATGGTTGTGCTGTTAGTTGGAAAGCCCAGTTACAGTCTACAGTTGCCCTGTCTTCTACCGAGGCAGAGTACATGGCGATTACAGAATCAGTTAAGGAAGATATCTGGTTGAAGGGGTTATTTGGAGAACTCGATGATAGAATAAAGGTGACCACAGTTTTCTGTGACAACCAGAGTGCTATTTTCTTGAGTAAAGATCAAATGTTTCATGACCGAACAAAGCATATTGATATTCGTTATCATTTTGTGCGGGATATCATTGAAAAAGGTGATTGTGTTGTGGACAAGATTCATACAGATTATAATCCCGCTGATATGTTCACCAAAAGTCTTCCTATAGCCAAGTTCAAATTATGTTTGGACATGGTGGGTGTTTCTGATCGCAGTTGAGCCTGAAGGCTCATGGTGGAGGAAGTATTATTTATTTTTCGGAAACAATTTTTTCTCTATATAAAATTTGCAGATTCTTATGGAAGTTTTAGAGTTTGATGAGCTATAGTTTTTTTTTGACTAATCGTAAAGCATGACTTACTTAATTTTGATGTCAAGGTGGAGATTGTGGAAAAGTTGCCTCCAAAATTAGCAAGTGGCAAATAGTTCAGGGGTTATTTCAGTAACTTATCATTTACTATTCATGACTATGAATAGTAATATATATGTGAATTGAATGAAGAATTGGACGGTGTATATATGTGGTCAAAGTAAGGCGCCTAAAACAATTGTCCGCCTACAATTTGGACGGCTTTTCTTCTTTCCTTTCATATGATATTGCTTTTGGCTATAAATAGCCTGAGCCATGAGTCAGAAAGATAAGAAAATAATTATCCAAGTATATATAGAAAAGTATTACATATATATACTGATACACCACCGTGTATTTTAGCTCTCCCACTCTATTTGTAATCTCTTTCATAATCCCTGTAAACACTTCAAATTATAGTGAATTGTTTCTCGGCTTCCTCCGCCCGTGGTTTTTTCCCGATTTGGGTTTCCACGTAAATTCCTGTGTCTCTATTCTATTTATTTTATTCGTATTACGTTGTGATTATTACGTTTTGATAATTTTTGATCCCATTCCGCATTGAGCTAATATTATTTAAGTCAATTCGGATCCGTCGTATTTTACAACATAAAATATATAGGGTATTTTGCTTCTATAGTAAAAAATTATTTTATTGTATATTTTCTTTAAATGAACTCTCCTCCGCCTGTTTATATCTTTAGTTTTAGAATAATAAAGAAGGTATTTCATGTGAAACAAAAAAGTAATTAATTATCTCCCTGATGAAGTCTATTGCTTTCGTCTTTTCCGTTTCTTTGTGATACCAAAACCTGTAGCAGGGCACCAAACGACAAGGGAATGTTGGTAACCTTATTGTTATTTTTATAGTTGCCAACGTCCTTGATCACTTGATGTCTTCTCCTTGTTGTTGGCAATTGTTGTTGGCAATGACGTCTATGTCGTTGTCATCATCATCGTTATTATAACTAATACAATGTCATTATCAATATCATTATTACCATTATTATTTTTATCGTAGTTATTAATTATTACTATTATCGTCACCATCATCATCATTGTTATTATAATTAATACAATGTCATTATCAATATCATTATTACCATTATTAAAACTTTTATCGTACCAAAAAGTTTCTAACCCAACGGTATCAGGTGGTGTCCTTCCTCTTTGAGGTCGATGGTTCAAATCTCGTCGTGGACATAGCTGGAATTAGGTGTTATTTAGGTTTAGATTATATATTCATATTTGCCGGTTCAATATATATAAGTGATTCATCATCCTCAAACATGAGTCGATCGTTAGTTAGGGACGGTTTATAGATCAGAAAATTCCCACAAATTGAATGAGAAGTGGGTCCATGTAAATAATCGATACCTTGCAAACAACAACGCTCCTTCGCCATATGGAGTTCGGAACCCAAAGACAATCGTTAAGTGAACTGTATCTTCTTTGTGTTAGTTAACCTAAGCCGCATACAGCTCGGGCCGAAACCCTGGGGAAGTTTAGGAGAGATGGAGAGCCAGCAGCTGACAGTCGGGGCGGGGATAAGCTTCCTTCTTCACAAGCTTCTCCCTCCCAAAAAAACCGAACCGATAGCGCTTCCCGTTTTTTCTATATATATATATATATATATATATATATATATATATATATATACTTTTATCGTAGTTATTATTACTATTATCGTTACCATCATCATTATTAATATAATTATTGTCATCATCCATATTAGTATGTGAATGATTTGAATAAAACTATCTAGTTAATTTTTTCGTAATTCATCTTAAAAATAATATGTTATTGACAAAACAACGAAATTATAATTCTTAAATTAAGCAAATATATATAATTGTTATTATTTTAAACGATAATATAAAAGAAATATCTATTATAATTATATCAATCAATATATAATTGTTATTATTTTAAACGATAATATAAAAGAAATATCTATTATAATTATATCAATCAATAGCATCTGCGCATTGATATTTGATTGTACCTATAAAAGCTAAATATGGTTCGTAATTTAATGTTACTTTTAACATTATTAATTAATTTAGAAATGACTTATTTGACATTTTTAAAATTTCGACCATGATGATTATTTAAAATTTTAACCATCATATATAATTTATAATTGTATGTATTATTATTGTTAGTTAATTCAAGAACCATTTATATGGAATACTTTCAATTATTATAAGAAATAGTTTTTGGATTTTTTTTAATTAATTTTACATGTCGTTTTAGTTTTATATTTTTAGACATTTAAACCTTTTTAGCTATTTCAAACATTTTTAAGTTAATTTGATATTTTGATTTGGGTTTTGCGTTTGAAATCATATTTAAATGATCAAATAAGTAATTTATATTTATAATTCAAAAAGTCTATTAATATCATAACTAAGCGAATGTCTGCCCTCCCTATAAGTGAAAGCAAAACCCTATAAGTAAAAGGCTAAAACCATTCCTCTTACATTTTTATTCACATGTGTTCTTGAATGATATCAGAATTGAACTCTATTAGTTTCAGGATCAGTCGAAAGAGATGTAGTTCTTGGACAAGAAATCGCCTATTTCGGTTATGGGACATATTTTGTAATATCTAGAAGTTTACCTGCTGGTACTCACTCCTATTATTAAAAAAATCAAATAATGTAGTTCCAAATAAAGATTTATCTTAAACCCCATTGATTGAATGACCTGTTATATATGATATAAGGTATTAATAGAAGATATAAATGAAAGTTATGCCCACCAAAGGAAAAGGGTAAGAGAATATGAAACTGTTCCAAACAATAAGTTGCATGTTTTGAGAATATCAAACATATGCAAAGATACAAACAAAGACAAAAGTGTTAACAAGTGTCACTCATGTATGATATTAACATTCAAACATTCATGAGGGAAATACCACATGTGTTCAATATTGAACCTACCTTTTCGACTTTTCTTAGTGACAGCATATCTCATGTATTGTAATAACTGAGAATTAGTCCACGACTTTGGTTTAATAGCAACAGAAATATTCAAGACACTAAGAAAGAAAGCATATTCCTCTATTTCCTTTTCTTCTAACAACACCCATTTCATTTCACCAAAATCTAGTTCCTGAACCCTGAAGAGATCTTTTTTTGGATCGCGATCCAAAAGATAAAGCTTTTCACCTGCACTTACAAACTCCCGATGTAAGAAGCTCCAAGCCGGTTTTGGAAAATTATTGGTTTTAAGTAATGTCAATTTGGGGTTTGGATAGAGTTTAAGTTCTTCACATAAATAACTACTGATGGATGATAGGGTATATATCTTCCCCTTGAAAGCAAGTAAATCAAGGAGGGTGTAAGCGGAGTAGACATGAATCCATTCTCCTTTACCCAATATACAAAACCAAATTGAATGACTATATTTCAGAAACGCCACCAACACCCACCCAGATATTGAAGGTGAAAAGACAAGGATAGCCTTAATTGGATCACACTTTGCTAAACAAGGGAACGGAGGGAAATAAAGTCGATGCCTTGTGATGGGATTCACAAGCCAAAAGTCAGGGACTTTAATCCCAAAACAAGATCAAGAAACCACAAGTTAATCCAACACATCTCCTGCCAATAGAATTAGGAAGGCGGATTTTGAACTTTATTCCTTCAAAGTCTTCTAAATAGCATTCTTTCTTATAAGGACAATCTTTGATCCATATCGACATTGGTGGTCTGGATTGCATAAACATCTTCTTGTTTGGGAGTGCGAGTGATCTCCATGACTTGCAAACTCCACTGAATGCAATAAAATCAACGGCTCCCAGTTTCATTAGAACTAAAAGAAGCACATCATGGTTAAGGCCTGACCAAGGTATCACAACACTTTTGTCATGAGTCTTGAACCTCTTCCTACAAGATGCATCATCATGATTCTGGTTTCTATTCCTACTCCTTGTATTGGCCATTAATTCCTATACTTAGCAAAAGGAAAAAGAGAAAATAAGCACAAATATGAAAAGGATCCTCAAGTAAAAAAAAAAAACAAAAAGTATACACGATAGCCAATCTAATTGTGCGTAGACATATTAAAGAAGTCTTAGATGACGCAAAGTGGAAAAACCAAAATACTAAACCCTAGAAAATCCAACAACGAATTATAAAAAGTTTATGTGTTCATATTATGATAAATATAATCAGTCATATATCATCATTTATGACCCAATTACCCAAATAAAAAACAGAACTATTTGTATTAAACAGAAAACCAGGAAATTGAAATTAAACTAACATAACTGTTTCATGAGTTCATTAGTAATGCTAGTATAGATTTGTATATCAGTACATGTCTTAACTAAACTAATAAAATCTAAAATGAAATGAAAAATCAGAATAAGCTAAGCTAAACTAATGTAAACATGTAAGTACCAAGATCAACATTGTATAAAATGTCCTAATTCCCCACACATCAGATGGCCAAGCCATTCGACCTTTTTTTTTGTGACATCCATGTAAAGATCAAATGAATGAAAGCAATGTTACTGGTTCTTTTTATTAGACAATATTAGAAAACAAAAACATGAAGACAATTGGCTAAGTTTATTACTCAGTTACAGAGGCAGAAAAAGGTGTGAATAATCTAAAGGACCAATTAACCACTGAACCAGAAAAAACTATTCTAAAATTTAACAGCAACTCAAAAGAAAATAAAAGGATCAAATGCTACTTAAAGAATCAAGAAACTGAAAAGGCTATAAGTCACGTGTCAAATGGATCAAACTACTAGAATTGCCGAAAACTAAATGATCATTTAATCAAATTGTGATAATAAAATTAGGAAACCATAAACCATCAAGGTGTGAATTAACATAGTTTAAGAAATCAATTAACATTTATGCTCTGACTTACTCAACTACATAAGCAGATTTAAATCATTACTTCAAGAAACCTATGAGTGAGTACTAAATCGCATTGATATAAAAAATTAGACCCTAGATAATCAAGCAATCAACAAAGCGAAATTGAAAAGATGAAACTGAAAGTAAAAATATTTCTTGTTCAAAAAAAAAAGAAAGTAAAAATATTTGACAAGAAAGTTACCTTTCACCGCGGTAGACGATTTCGGTAGAAGAATCTGTTTGAGTTTCTAGGATTAAGAATTTTAATCGGTAGAAATGGAACTGCGAGACATTGCTTCCACAATTATAGCAATCGAGGAACGATAATTCTGCTAGTTCGCTTCATTTCTCCGGAAATAGGGTTATAGGGATGGGCAAGAAAAACTGAAATCGAACAAAAAAAGATTGAACAAAACCCAAAGCTAAATCAAAAACAAATCGTTTGCTTCCAAAACTTTTTTTTTTTTTTTTTGTTACAAGGTATGGTTTTTTGGGAAGCGTTTTTTTTACATAATAATTTATGTTTTAAAAAATTGTACAATTTGTATATTACTCTAAAACCTAAATTGTTGTGCATAAGAAAGTTATCTGTTTCGGCTACCATTATATATATATATATATATATAAAAACAAGAAATGAAATACATCAAAACTGAATTGTTTTGAAAAATAAATCCATTTGGTTCTAAAACCATTTATAGATTCTACATAATCCAACAATTGGGAGTAAGAGAGTGTGAAATCAATTCCACTTAACATTTCCATTAGGCATGTCTTCCCAAATACATATCACAAGGTTTGTTGTCAAAGTTTGAATATGAGACTGCGATTTAGGTTTACAATAAATCAAGCAGCTGTAGTCTTACTTTGGTAGACATATAAAACACATATAATATCAGGTTTCGAAGAGAGTTTAGCTAGGCTTCAACATTCAATTTCAAGGTAATATAATTAATTGGAAAATATTGGTCATGATAAATGGGCAAGGCTCCAAATATATGTTTTGTAACATCCTGAAAATTTCAAATATATTTTTCATTTACAAAATAAATTAACCAATTAAAACATTTATCTCTGAAATCATTAAGTAACATTCATTTGGTAAAATCGCACATTATCATAGTTAATTTACAAAACCACAGAAACGAATATTTTAGATGCGTGTGTACAACCCCGCCGAGCTTTCTTCTCACGAACAACCTACAAAATATTTTATCCACAACTGTAATCATAAAGCTTAATGAATTCTCCAGTATACTACATATTCCACCATAAATACAATGCATCCACATATAATCCTCGACTCTAGAGTCGAGCAACCAAAACTCCTATCCATATACATATATCATACATAACGGGCCCAACCCAACTCACATAACAAACCCCGCCAACAAACATACAGGCCCCATCCAACCATACATAACGAGCCATGCCCAAGGAGTAAACGAGCCCAGCTTAAACTCCATTGCCAAGAGCTACATCCTGGTCTTCTGTACTATTAATTGGGGTCAAATCCTGACCTTCCATACAAATGCCAAAGCTATACATAGTCGGGATGAGATAGACATTCGAACAAATGATCCACCCAAAAGCAATAAATCAAACAAGAACCATGTAGTCGAGCATTAGACCAAGAGTTCTCAGACTATCCCACTTGACTGCATACAATCTCTTAGGGTAAACATTCAACAACAGTCAATACTATCATTAACCTAACCAATCATGACACCTAGCAGTATCATACAATCAACAAGCAAGGCCCTACCGGTCTGGCATACCAAGACAACAAAGGTCCTATATTGCATAAGCATAACAAGGAGACAACCTACTTAACTAGCATACTTGTACTCTAACAGTACCACTATCATACCATGCAAAAGTATATTATATATATATACATGGCATAGTGAGAAACTCACTTGAACTGAAGAACCGAAGAAGTACAACAACATTCTCACACCATGCACTGCTCAATTAACGGTCAACCAGGTCAATATCTACCACGACATAGTGATCTCTTGTCTACGTCGTGGGCATGTCCAGACAAAATAGGCGACACGCAGGACGTTGCCACGTCGTGGGCTTTCCTTGGCCACATCATGGAATGTCAGGACCAAAACAATCACGAAGCGAGACTCCACCACGTCGTGGTCATTCTTTGGTCACGTCGTGGCCACTGCCAGAAATCATTTTTCTCACATTAAGGACTTAATCCATTAAGTCACCTTTGCTCCAACTTTCCAAAGGGCTTCATTGCCCTTAAATGAACCATAAAAATCCTTACTTTATGGACATGCATGTCCAATGCATGTCACTCCCACAACTAGGTCAAAAAGGGTAAGAAATGGAGTGAAAACTCCATGCATTGCACCAAACAACATGAAAGTCTAGATCTGGAACATAAGATAACCAAGGGACCTCAAGAAGTGATAAGTTGCCAACTTTATCAGAACCAACCATTCATGCCAACATATTAAGAAGAAAATGAGCTCAAAACCTAGATCTACAAAGAATGAACCATAAAGGTGGGAACTTGGAGACTTACCCAAGTCTAGAAAATGCAGACATGGAGACAAGATGTTAGTTGATCCTTTGCTCAACAAAGCCTTCCTACAACCTTCAAATGGCCAAAACACCAACAAGGAGTTCAAGATGCAAGATGAGAGGCTAGGGTTTCGAGATAGGAGGTTGGAGGCTGATGGAAATGACCTAACCCTAGAGTTAAGGCCTTTAAATATGGAGAAAACCCTAGAAATCGTGGGCTTGGGCTGCAGTAGATGCCACGTCGTGGCTGCCATCCAAAATGCGTGTTCCTAAAATTGGCTTGCCACGTCGCGGCACAAGGTTTTTCCCAAAAACCTTACATTTGATCCCTCAGAGCCCTCAACTGATTTAATCTGGAAAACGGGTGTTACATGTTTAAGTATATTGACTTCTTATCTTTTTGATGCCATGTACATGTTATCGAGAAGAATGGGAGGTTTGCCATGACATGAGGTATTATGAAACGCAGTGATGCTGAAGGTGTGTGTGTGTGTGTGTGTGTGTGTGTGTGTGTGTATATATATATATATATATATATATATATATATATATATATGTTATTGTGTGGATGTAGGGATGAATGTGGACCAATGGTTTTAGTTGTTTTAAGAAAGTGATTTACCTATATTATTAAATTGAAGAAAATAGAATAATCACATAAATCTCATTGTAATAGATCTATTAATTTTAGAAATTTGATTTTAGAGATAATAATTCTCTTAATTCGGACATTATAATAGAATATGTTTATGAATATATTGAAAAATAAAAATATTTTTTGAACCATAAAAGAATACACATTATGATAGAATATATATTTTCATCGCATTCTTAAAAAATAAAAAGCTCTATATAATATTCTATGATAATGTAACACTCACTAATAACAAACAAACAATGAAAACTGCATTCTTTTTGGAAGATCAATGACTATTATTCATCTCCATCTCGCACACCATCCTTCATTCCCTTGATCATCGTGTTCCTTTCACGCATTCTTTAAGAATAACTACCATCAAAATCGAATTATTTAAGAATAATTTTTTGTGAGAATGCTTTTATATGAAAAATAATAAACAAATATTTATGGGCTTATTTCTAATGAGATTGTAGTGGGTTAATAGCATCCCTTTCCCCTTCATCTAAAGCTTAATCATATGTCCTTCCCCTTTTTTCTTGATTTGAGCCCTATCTATGCGTGGGGGTGTGTATGTTGGCGATGTTGGCTTGATATTTGTCTGAAGACGATAGAGAGATGAAGGGAATCACAAGTGGCGTTCAGTCAAGATCCAAACTTAGATCGAAATTAGAATGAGATGAAATTTAAACAGATAGAGTTAAACCTAGATCGGTGAAACAATCATATTTTTCTAATATCGCTAAAGCCTTTCTCGGCGTTGGGTGGCAATGGTGGCCAATGGTGTTGGCCGGCGAAGGGGCCAGCTCTCTGGCCCTCATGTCTTTTTCGATCGTGGGTGTTGTCTTCTACAATCGTGGGTGGGTCGGGTTAATAAAAATGAATTAGGCTTCAATTAAAACCGATATCCTATTGAAAGGAATATTATTTAATTTAACAATTTACCAAAAATAACTAGTAGCCAAGATTACAAAATTACACTTGTATAAGTTTTTGAAATGATTGGTCCACATTAGTCTCTACATCCACACGATAAATATAGAGAACACACACACACACACATCCTTCATATTTTTTCACGTTTGTAATGTATCGATATACATAATGCAATACTTTTTACATGATTCGAGGAACACTTCCGAAACAATTGTTATTTGGTAGTTCAACGCATGAATTTAACAAAAATAAAGATTTAGTCTCAAAAGATAGAAGAATTCAAACACATAATATTTACATATCCGACGTCTTATAAGTTATATTTGCTCATCTATAAATTACATGTAAAAAATAGACGTGAAAAGGATTAAAGAAATGGATATCTCTGATAAAGTCTCAATATTTTGGGTCACTTTACGGTTTAATCCCAACATTTATTTTTTGAACAAAAAAGGCCAAATTATCTATAATTTTATTAGATAATCTATCATTTTCTATTAAAAAAAAATAAACACTGTTTTGTTAATTTGGACAAAATATAAAATAATCAGAACTTTTTCTATTTAAAAAATAAAAGTTGAGATTAAACTATAAATTGGGCCAAAATATTGGGACTTTATCGGAGATTTCGCTTAAAGAAATACAAAAAACATGAGTATCATTTGCTAATATATTTGCAGGAACTGCAGACTTTCATTTAGTGTATATAACGCCATAGTAGCAACAATAGATTGACAAAGGGATCATGTCATAGTTGGTATATTATGAGTGTATAATTCTATACATATTGTTAAGTTGATTTTTTTAAAAATATTTTGGAATTTGTGATGTTTTGTTTGGAAAAGAAAGGACTTTCTGTTGGTATTTTACAATGATAAAATCATCCTCTTTTGTGTTTCAGATTTCCCTCTTTCATCAGAAAGAACAGCTTCGAAAACAGCTTTCTGTGTCCCTAATTCAAAATTTGCAAATTTACAAATGACAAAGCAATAGTACATAAAACAAATACATAATCATATTGCAAATATATTGTTTGTAATACGATAATGACGAACATAATGAACAATGTATCAGTTAGTTGGTGGAAACAATCAAAGTATGAGTACTGAAGTGTAAATTTAACAAGATAGGAGGCAGACTGCTATGATATGGTAAAAACTTTTTTTTTTTGTTTTCTCAAAAATCTTAAATGGTGTCTAAAAGTATTCTTTGTTTATTACAGAAAGCAGCTAAAATGCTATAATTGGGTAGATTCTTAAAGTGCCTTACATTTGTATTATATTAATCTGTTATTCAAAAAGTTTGCTATATTTTCTTAAAGAAAGATCAAATATTACTTAATTTTGGGAGAGTATCTAATACTTGTTTTCATATTTGAGGAATGAGAGAGATGCGATCCTATTGCTAATTTTTCTGTATATATTTATGTTTTATTCGATAACAATTATTATTTTTCTACTGATTATTTACAATCAAATTGACCATGAATGATTAATTGAGTTTGTACTAAAATTTAGTAATTGCATTTTTTATAATAAATAATAAATTACACTTAGCAAATATGAAACAAAAAAAAAATCATAATTAAAGTTGAAAGATCCACATTAGTAAACATGTTAACATCAACATATTAATAAACATATATATATACATAAAACATTAGTAAATCAAGAAAACGTCAACATATAGAAGTTATGTATGGATAAAACATTCACAAAAAAAAAAAATTGACTTTAATATAGATCAAGTTTCAAACAAACACAAACATTCACCACCAGATGCTTGAAAATAAAATAAAAGAAGTCTGAAACAAACACTGAAAATATAAAAATCTCACAACAAATGTATCGTAAAGAATTAAAACTTATTCTAGGAATAATTCCGATATTAGTTGTTTCTAGTATCCTTAGTTCGAACACTATATTGGTTAATTCAGTTAAAATCAAAATGTTCAGTGAAAATACGATAACTATTAATAAACGGATTTTCTTAGTTAACTTCATATCAATAAAAATATATAATTTTTTTTTAAAAAATAACTTATTTAAATTCAAATGAACCAGTTTTATCCGAGATATCCGATAATCGTATATTATATGCTTTCTTTTTAATGCATAATAGGTCTTTACAATTTGATGTCGTGTTTGTAGGTTATATGCAGCTTCATCTTTATTATATTCTCTTATTTATAACAAAAATATCGCCAATAATTGTTTAAATTATTGTTAATCCAATATATGTTTACGCATATAATATATAAATTTATGGTCAATCTTAGAGAAACAAATTGAACGAATATGTCTTTAAAAAGACAAACATAAGGGAGTAGTTTATTTGCCACCGACGATTTTTCCAACAACATTTAAAAATTATGACCATGTAAAATATTTAATTATATTTTTAAATATAAAAAATAAATTGGAAAATAAAGATGCCTATCATTTTTCCTGAAGTCTTATCCTCTTGGAGCGTTTTGACGAAGTGAACCCGTGGATAAACCGAAAACCATAGATCAATAGCATCATCTAACTGATGTAACCATGTGTTACTGCTGATGCGAATCATCCAATCATCACTGATAAAACTGTATCCTTGATACCTCGGATACTCACGGTAGGTTGGTTCAATTTGGAAATGGTTCGATCAATAGATTCTCTAAATTAAAGAAATACATCAATTGTAAAGGAACAACTTCTTCCATTTTTTCTCTCTAATAAACAACGTAATACTTTTAAACAAAGTACTTTAAATAATATATATAACCATGTAAATAAATATAAACGATTTTTCAAACTTACATTTCGATCAATGTGGACAACGAAGAGTTTGTACGCACTAACATTTCTCTAAATGAAATCCACTAGGACCAGTTGTCAAAATATACCATAAATAAGGATTTAGTAGCAATGAAAAGGTGTTAACATACGTGTGTCCATCCATGATTCTACAAAAAAAAAATCAATGCTAACTTTATTTATTGGGTATAAGTAATAATAATAAAATATTATTTAAATAAGTTTGGGATCGACTAGAAGGGTGAAAGAAAGAAAGGTGTGGAATATTATGGCATACAGGTGGAGTATTGAGAACAACTATTCATCAAACATTTTTATGTAAATTTACATGAAATTCGACTATAAGTCGTCAATACGGATACACAGTTTGTGTCATAATAGAATTTCAAACAGGTGGAGTATTGAGAACAACTATTCATCAAACATTTTTATGTAAATTTACATGAAATTCGACTATAAGTCGTCAATACGGATACACAGTTTGTGTCATAATAGAATTTCAAGCAGATTTACATAAAAAGTTTGAACAATAGTTATTTTCAATACTCCACACGTATCATATCTGATATCTCCCTTTCTCTCACCCTTATAGTAGATCTCAAATTTATTTAAATAATAATTATTATTATTACTTATACCCAATAAACAAAGTTAGCATTGAAATTTTTTGTAGAATCATGGATGGAAACACGTATGTTGACACATTTTTATTGCTACTAAACCCCCATTTATGGTATATTTTAACAATTGGTCCTAGTGGATTTCATTTGAAGAGATGTTAGCTTGTACAAACTGTTCATTGTCCATGTCCACATTGATCCAAATGTAAGTTTGAAAAACTGTTTATATTTTATTTACATGGTTATATATTTATTTAAAGTACTTTGTTTAAAAGCATCACGTTGTCTATTAGAGAGAAAAAATGGTAAGAGTTGTTCCTCTACAAATGATGGCTTTCTTTAATTTAGAGAATTTATTGAGAGGTGTTTTCTCCTTGAACCATTTCAAAATTAACCAACCTATTGTGTGTATACAACAATGTTGTCAATAGCATCATGGCGATCACTATAGCGAATAGTGAGACAAGACAATGCAGGGTTCATAGCGACTGTGTGTCGCTATAGGGTTCATAGCGACTGTGTGTCGCTATAGGGTTCATAGCGACTGAATAACGAATAGCGACATAGCGATCTGTTCATTTTTTTTTAAATCGCGTATAAATAGTCCCATTTTAGGGTTTTTAGTTGAATAAGTCAAAGAGAGCATCGGATATCTAAAATTAACACTTGTTTTTTTTTTTTTTTTTTGTAATATACATGTTTTAGAACTTATTTGAACTAATAGTCTTGGTTTTTAACTTATTTATTAGTTATAATTGCTAATTAGTTATAACTGCTAATTAGGTGAAGGTAAAAATAGTACTAATTCACTTAAAAATAAAATAGTCGTCGCTATTTCATAGCTATCGCTACATAGCATATAGGTAGGTGGTCGCTAGTACCACGCTATCGCTATCGATAACACTGGTATACGAGACATCAAGGATACAGTTTTATCAGTGCTATTAGAGGATTCGCATCAGCATAACACATAACACATGGTTAAATCGGTTGGGCGATGCTATTGATTTATGGTTTCCGTTTATCTATTGGTTTCCTCAGTCACAACTCTCCAAGAAGAGGATAGGACTTCAAGCAAAAAGATTGATATTATTCATTTTTGATTTATTTTTTATATCCTTTTTATATTTAAAAATGAAAATGAATAATGTTACATGTCACGATTTTTAAATGAAGTTGCATGTAACACCACGGATACGGAATCAAATTGTAAAAACCTAATATGTGTTTAAAAAAAACATATAATATACGATTCTCGAGTAAAACTGGTTCATTTAAGTTCAAATAAGTTTTTTTGTTTTAGAAAATTTATATATTTTTTATTGATATCAAACTAATTAAGAAAATCCATTTTATTAATTATTATCATATTTTCATTTAACATTTTGATTTCAACTAAATTAACCAACATAGAATTCAAACCAAAGATACAAGAAACAACTAACATCAGAATTATTCCTACAAGAATTTTTAAATCTTTTTTTATAAATTTAGTGGTGAGATTTTTATATTTTCAATGTTTGTTAGTTTCAGACTTGGTCTATTTTATTGTCAAGCATTTAGTGGTGAATGTTTGATATTTTTGGTGTGTGTTTGTTTAAGACTTGATCTATATCAATATCATACATTTTTTTGGTGAATGTTTTATCTATACATAACTTTTGTATGTTGAATTATTCTTTATTTACAAATGTTTTATGTATAGATAAGTTTATTAATATATTGATGTTAACATGTTTACTAATTTGTATCTTCCAACTTCAATTGTAATTTTTTTTATGTTGATTTTTTTTCTGTTTCATATTTGCTAACATGCTAATTGTATTTTATTATTTATAATTGAAATTACGATTAACAAATTTTAATACAAACTCAATTAATCATTCATGATTGCTTCATCGGAAGTCCACGAGACATGCAAAGAAGATATCTAGATGTCATGACTTTAGTTTAAGATGGCGGGAAGCCTGATATATTCTTTACAATGACATGCGACCCAATATTGAAAGAAATTGATGATGAACTATTGACAGGCATTAAGATCGGCCAGAATTATGAGAGCTTTTTGTGTTAAGTTAGAGGATTTCAAGGTACAATTATTCAAGAGGTACACAATCGATGTGATGGGGCATATGTTTATGTGGTAGAGTTTCAAAACGTGGAGTGCCACATGCATATTTCCTCTTAATAATAAGAGTTGGATATAAAATGACCAATCCAGACAATTATGACAAAATGGTGTGTGCCAAATTCCAAACCTAATAAGGTTTTTGAAAATGCACGATTTGGTCAAACGTCACATGATGCATTGTCCTTGTGGTATTTTATGAGAAAAAAAGTAGGCATAGTACGCAGGGTGTGCCAAAGGAACGATTCCATACTTTTAAACCTTTGGGTATAAGCGGTAAAAAGATGCATGTCTTGCAGTTACCATGGCTGGAATTTATAAGTACAAAAATTAAGAGTATAATGCTTTAATAGGTAATGAAAAACAAACAAATTTAGTTTCTTAGTTAGAAAATAATAAAAGTACAATGACAGCCTCAAAGACTAATATGGTGATATGTTAATTATGAAGCACAGAGATGGTTGCATGGTCTAGTACTAGCAAAAATAAAATCATTGGTTGTGTATCTTAAGAAAGGCAGGTATTAGATTATGTAATGATGAATAAATTGTTTCACATTTAGTATAAGGATATTGCCTTACACCTACCACTTTTACCTAGCATCACATTGAAAATTACAAATAAAATGGAAATACCCTAATGAGATTGAAAGAAATTAAAGCAAAATTTTAAATAAAAAACAGAGGGGGTCAAAACTTACAGGTGACCCATGGCCATCAGAATCCACTTTGTTGCTTTTTTTATTAAAAAATGATTTCATTCCACAACACTGATGGAGCTCATCTCTCCTAATTCTGTAAGTATGCAAATTACAAACGAGTAAAAAGTAGAATCACAATAAAGATCACATATTATTGGATATATTCTTTGTAAAGAATGCATATAGGTAAAACAGGAAAAGGAAAAAAGAAAAATAATGCTTTATGACTGTTGTAAACCATAATTCCACAAGAAAAACCACTTCATGATGTTTCTTAGTACCAAATAACAGACATTTAAAAGTAATAAACAAATCATCAGGAATGGTCAACATAACTAGATAACATTAGGAGTGAACTACAACTACATTGCTTGCCAATTCATGAAGTCACGTGTCCATTAAAGATAGAAGAAAATGAGGTTATCATGTTATGGCCATGAAAATTTACATATTAAATATAGAAATATGAGTAGATCCAAGAGTTTGACAGAATTCCATTATTAGTAATATTAGTAATATGCAGATCAAAGGAAGAGATACAAGAAACAAATTAAATACTAACTTATGGAGTCTTACACGATCACATAAATTTGAATAAAACCTGGTGATCTCATAAAATTATTTTTTCATAACATTGAATCTACAAGACGTACGTTCTCAAACGAGCAACAAAACTAACCAAACACACCAGACGTTATCTATCAAACGATCAACAACACAATACGACAGAAACAAACCTAAAAAATCAGATTTTACAGAAAAAAAAAAATCAACGAAAAGAAAATGAAGATGAGAGGGTGATAGTAGAATCCTAAATTAGAAAGAGTAAATCAAAACCATAATTGACAGAAGAAAATTACATCAACATTATCAATTACAGAAAAAACCCTATAAACGTAAAATAAAGAAAAGAATAAAAATAATGAAACTTACAGAGAGTTCTTCGATTGCAGACATGGCCGTGGGTAGATTCGGGTCTCGGGGGACCGTAGTTAGAGAGATGGACATGGGTCCGGGGGTGTTTGGGTCTCATTGAATCACTGAAGAACAAGAACGTATATATAATTAGAATTCCTAACTTTCTAAATTAGAGAATCAAATTTGTTGCAAGTCATTAACGCTCACAAACAGAATTGAAAAAGAAAATTACGCAAGCGTTTAGAGAAGGAATTAGTAAATACCTGAAGAACCGAAAAACACAACCCAAACTTTTTACGATTAGGGTTTTAGTTCTCTAACAAGGAATCTCACATATGGCTTATGTTCTACGAATCCGACAGTGGTAAAGCGTATCCCAATTTTTTTTTTAGGGTAAGCTAATTTTTTTCCCGGGGTACTTGGGTTTCCCTGGTTCGGTTTTAAACTCAAATCTTAATCGAATCCTTAGCTAACCTCAAGTCTAGTTATATAAAGATGAAGTTGAAGTATATTTTGATACTTGAATCGATGTGGGACTCAAAGTAGATATCAAATAAAGCGTGAGGATAGCAGGTTTATATAATAGAAAAAAATGGCTGAGTTTATATGTGTTTAGCGATGTGCGATATAATAGTTGGGAAAATAAAACAAAAGTAGACAAAGGATATGTAAGAAGCGAGAATTGATCTAGAGACCTTTACTTCAATAAGCCAACGCCTTAACCAACAGACCAACTGTTTGTTTGTGTTCATAAGTGGAGGGATGCGTATATATACACTATAACGATTTTTTTTTTAGGAATACGTGAACAAAAATTACACTACCGAAAAAAATTTGAGGGGTATCCCGGGCTACCCCGGGATCCGCCCCTGAATCCGAAGGAACGAAGGAAGAGGAAAAATATACTGCAACGTAAATCCTTAGACTACCCGACCCAACCCATTCCAATCCACTTTTATTTAAAAAATATATATAATTTATTTTTATTTATATTTACTAAAAACTACTAGAAATACTAAAAATAAATATTTTATTTTGAAACAAATAAATTACTTATTTTAAGCATAAATTTAAATAAGAATATATAAAAAATTATTTTGCATTCATCAAACATATTTAATAAAATAGATAAAATAAGTTTCAAACACGAAAGATGCAAACTACTTAATTATTCTTCAGAATTTTCTCCATATATGCTCAATCAAATCGTTTTGTAGAGTGTTATGAGTTTCTCTATTGCGAACTTGTGCCCTATTGATCATATAATTGGATATATTTGTAATTCATTGAGTAGAGTATTCAAAAGATTGTTTGTCTTTTGTAGTTATAAATTTGGATGGATCATAATAATGAAAGTATGTGTGTCGTTCATCCTCAGGAATCATATTATGAATTATGATACATGCAATCATAATTTTACTCATCATATCTTTATCCCACATAAGACAAGGGCAGTGAAGATATACAAAACGAGCTTGTAAAACTCCAAATGCTCGTTCAACATCTTTTCTAGCAATCTTTTGATGTTCAGCGAACAACTTGTGTTTTCGAAGTTGTGAAGAACTTATTGAATTGACAAAGGCAGTCCATGAAGGATGTATGTCATCAATACGATAATAAGCCATGTTATTTTGTCAATCATTCACGGTGTAACTCACCTTTGGTGTTTGACCTGCCAAGACATCATAAAAAAAAGATATTTGGAGGACGTTAATGACATTGCATTAACCTTGTTAGGTGTGTCAAACCCCACAAGTAATAGGGGTACAACAAACTTTAAATACACTGTTATAATGCACTAAAAAGTAGTACAAGGCAAGCAGTATCGATTTTTAGAGACACGAGACAAAAGTATATAAATCTTTGCACAAGGTACTTTGGTCACAAAAGGGAGGTTTGTATGCAAAATCTGAAGTAATGTAAATAACAATCTACTTTAAGAACAGGTGAAATATTAAATATATTTGTAAACAAGTTGTTGAAATATTTGTAGTTCTAGTTCTTAATGTTCTCATTTAATTTGATTATGACTTGATGTAATTCATGATTGTTGTTCTTTCAACCTAAACACGCTCTTAGATTATATTGTAATACTACATGCATTAAGTTTTTTACAAGCTTCCCATCAATGTTCATTTCTTCCTATACACTCGGAAGTGTGAAAACATGTGATATATGTTCTACAATAAGAAAACATATTGTTAGTTTCTAATCATTAACTTTATAGAACGATTAGGTACCATAAAAATTAATTAACTACACAAGAACTCAATTCATATATGTAACGCCCGCATATTCGGGCTAGTCAATTTAGAGATAATAAGTGTTAAAAATGACTTTTTATAAAAGATTATTTAGGATAAATAATCTTAACCAAAGTTACAGTATAAATAAAAAAACTAGTGCATTAAAAATATACACATCAAGTTATTGGCGTCATTGTCGGGGAGCGGTTTTCAATTAATTTAGTTTATTTGATTATTCGTTATTTTTTTTGCATTTATTTTAGTTTTATTTTTTTATTTTCCTTGATAACATGTCACTTGTCATGAAGGTTTTTGTTGTTATTTACAGGAATTCGTGATCATATGCATTTCTTGGTTTTACTTTTCGCATGGGTTTCGAGATTGCAAGTTATTGGGGGAATTTTTGACTTGTTTAGTCTACTACTTTTGTGATTTGTCCAACTCAATCCACGAGGCATAGTATATCAAGACGTATCGCAGTGGTTAAGTGGAAGACCGAACTCTTGCTACTCTTGACTAGTTGGGTCAATTTTTGTTCTACTTATTAGTTAATGGTGTAGAGAAAGCAAAGGAAATAGCTTGACGGGTCCCGAAAGTTTTTGTTTTCACAAACCTCTTCTTGCATGCAGGAGATTCAATCAACAATTGTAGCATGATTGCGACGAAGACGAGTGACCGTGATATCCTATTTTATTTATTTTAGTGTGATTTTATTTTTAGTTTGTTTAAATTTTGTTTTCCATGTTGATGCTTTAGATGTTTCAGATCTTTGTAGAATTTTTGTCCTTCGGATGTCTTCAGTAATTTCAGCAATTTGGATCGAATGTTGTTTTGTCACGAGAGATACTTCACGAGTGGTGTTGCATGACATAAGTGTACAGTCACTTACCTACATGAGAGAGGGATCGAGACTTTATTAAAGTCCACTACTAGAGGGAAGAGTGTATACGAGAGACGAGACGAGTGTTTGGCCGGCCCAACTCAAGTTGATTTTTATTCGCAAAATTTTTTCCACTGGCTGGTTACCACGTCGTGGCATGTTAACAACCACGACGTGGCGATATCTTTTGTGTGGAGAAAATTCTTGAGAAATGATTCCCAGATTTTACACATTGTTTTGTTATACGATGTTTTCTCCAATCGCTTCGAACACCAAGTTTTTCGCGCACCAAATCCCCGCATGAACAGAAAAGTAAAGTAGTTCCAGTTTTCAGTTTCCAACAAAATATGAAGCATCATCATTCCAGCTCACATTTCGAAGCAACCCACTACAGTCGATTTCGTTATCGCGACTATATACCAAGGCGAGTTCATTCCTTTTTTCCCTCTTTTATTTTATATGTTTTGTTGTTTTTATATACAATGAGGGCATTGTATAATTTAAGTGTGGGGTAGGGGATCGAAAAAGGACAACGAGCATACTGAAAAGAGAAAAAAATGAAAAATGACTAGGACTTAAAAATGTTGTTATATAAAGACTTGAAATAATGGTCTAAAAATTGAATCTAGTTAAAAAAAAATTTATATTGTTGTGTTGAGACGTAGGTTGCTAGTGTTGTGTGGGACGATCCGATGCAAGTCTTGATGTTTATTTGAGCCAACATATGTTCTAGTGTATTTGTGTTCCCCATCCTAGTGAAATCACGAGACAAAAACATAAACGTGCTTAGTTTGAGGGACAATACGTTTAGAATCATGTACTAGAAATGTATCCATGAGAGCTTAAGTAGTCATTGCACTCTAAACCAACGCCTTTAACCAATAAGGGTTGAAGATTAAGTTCCCTTGCTTAAGCATATATTTTTCTTAGGTTTTTAGTTTTGTGTGAAAAAAGTGAGTTTCCAAAAAGAAGAAAAAGAAGAAGAAGAAGAAAGAAAAAAAAGAGAATTGTTGAGTGAATAAAAGCTTACTAGTCTGAAGACTGAAGATATTGAAGAATGAAGCAAATTGCCAAAAGTCAATTGAGTATTTTATTTTATTGTAATTTTCTTTCTAGGTTTTTTTTTCTATATGTATGCTTTGGAGCTTAATCAAAAATTATCTTGAGGTAAAGAAAGATTTATGAGAATATATTCGAAGGGATGCATAAAATGAATATTGTTCAAAAGAAGTGGAGGAGTGTTTATGAGGATTGTGAGTATTTAGGATTAGGAACTATATAGAAATTAGACACAAATACATGCATTGCGGTCTTGATGTAATGGAGAAGTTTAAAATGGATTGTCTTGTGCGATATTGGTGGCTAGGGTTTTGATGTGATGGTATGATAATAATAAAATAAGTTTTGCTTGGGGAGAAGCAAAAGAATAGTGTGGGGTGTTTTGATATAACCATATTTAACTATATATTTTATGCCATTATCCTAATGTATTCAAGTAAAAATATTATATTTTAAAATTTATGATACTTAATATGCTTTGAATTGTTCAATTACAGTTAAAATGGGAGTTGGAATACAAAAGGAGGATAATGGAGCTAAAAAGACACAAAAAGGATGTTGTTGGATAGCTTGACCCCTCGTCATTGTTTTAGCCATATCTCATGACTCGTAACTTCGATTGACGAGATTCAAAATCTTCTGAAAAGTAGATACAACTTCGGACAACTTTTGTGTTTCGAGAAAATGATGATTCTCACTCACCACGACGTGGTGATCACCACCATGACATGGTAAATGGAAACTTCACGATCGTTGAGCTAACTTGGAGAATACGAGATATCCATGAAGACCGCGGCGTGGTGCCTCTTAACCACGCCGTGGTGATCATATTTTCGGGAATCTATATATTTCAAGCATATGGACAATTTTTAGAGAGTTATTACGACTTTTATCCATCCTTGGTTGACAAGAAACACTTCTTCTACCATTTTGAGGGTCTAGAAGGCGGCCGGAAGGTCATTAAGCTGACATGAGCGAAGATCTGAAGGATTAGAGAGCGGATTCATGCCAGAAATCATTGGTTTGTTGTTTCGATCACGATTAGCATTCCAATGAGATTCTATACGCGTTTACTTTTTTATTTGGGTATTAAAACCATTTGCTTTGCGTTTATGATTGGGTGAATTTTGAGATTATGGATTAATTGCTATTTGGATTGTTTATTCTTATTTAATTTATTTTGTCAAGTTTGATTGCAAGATCCATATGTGTTACATATTGTTACTTTATTCCCTATTACTGAATTAATAGAGTTTGGATGACCATTCTGACTGTGTTAATTTGAATCATAGTTGTCCATGATCATTGTTAATTATGACTAGAGTTAGATCATAACGTAGGGTTTGGAAATAAAGTGATGAACTGTAATGTGTGTGCATTAGTAGATGATCATTCTATGCATGATTTATTCCTATGATCAATAGGATTAATAAAGATCAAATCTTGCTAAATACGAACCAAATACTGATTTCCATGATTGTTTGTTCACTTGATCATTGAATTAATAGTCATGTTAAAATCAAAGGATTAGTAGCATGATCATGATGCTAGTCATATTAGGAATCGGTGAATAATGAATAAATATTCGATACTTAGTAGTTAGCCATTATTTTGAAATGAAATTCATTCTAAACCAACGTACCTAAAGAGATTTGTCTGCAGTCACTTTATCGATATTTGTTGTTTAGCTGTTTATTTGTGATTTATTTCCATAAAACCCTTCATTACTGTTTTGTGTGTTTAGTGTAACCTATAATCAAAAACTTCAAATTAATTCACCACCGTTCCCCTTGAGTTCGACACTCTTTCTTATCAAAACTATACTCTTTCTTATCAAAACTATATTATACTCGATCGGGTTCACTGTCTGTAAGGTGTGGTTTAGATGCGATAAACTAGGAATTATAAATAAAAAAAAACTAGTGCATTAAAAATATACACATCACTCTTCATGATTCGTAGTTCTAGCTTACATCTTCATGTCAAACGTCTCTAACCTCTTTTGAGACCTTATGGATGACATGTGATACCTATTGTATAGGTTGGCCTGGTATACTTGAGTTCATTTTCCTGAGTTCATTTTCCATGATTGGACTTATCCCCGAATCTGGGGTATTAGATGGAGTGTTGCATATCCTTCCAAGATCTTGGGAGACATGACCTCCCATACTAGGAGTCACACCATCTGTGAGGATAGGCGCCTACCTTGATATGAAGTCTCCTGCTTGGCATTCTGAAGAGGCGTCAGTTTCGAAGTTTAGGATTATGGGCTGCAATAATGAAGATTGAGTTGGTGTTGTGTAACGTCCCCAAAATATAGATTAAAATTTTCATTTTTTAAAAGTAAGATAAAACCATTCATTTCCAATCCATCAAAAGATAATCATAGTAAACATCAAAGTAAAACATAAAAATAGATAGTGTAGAATTTCTGGTGGAT